AAAAACTTTATTACATTACAATACGATGATATTTCACGTAGGTATATAATACGTTAAACAGCCAAATTGAAACAGTCAGAGGTAAATATCGAATCATTGCGTATACTTTTACACTTTTCTAAAAATGTATTGTATTATACTATATATTGTACGTATTTTTTTTTTAATTTAGATTAATTCGTCGCATTTGAAATTTTTTCTGTTACGTGATACATATTAGTATCATTAATAGATACATTTTAAAGTTACATTTTCAACATTTTTTTTCTCTCTCATTTCATTGTTAACCGTAGAATTTTGCACCTGTCCAAGTTTGATACCTTATTAAAAAAAAAAATACAAAAAAATTAGACATTTCTATGACAGCTCGATTTACTAAAGAATCATCTTAATATATATTATAAATTTATAATGTAATATATTTTTATCCCACATATTATATCTTATTAATTTATAATATTTTTTTATATCAAATTTTTATGCTTCAATTTACATTCTTTTCTACCTTGGAAAGTGAAATTCTTCGATGGGAATATATCGGGGGAAAAAAATCCTATTTTTGTAGCTCTCTCGTGTAATTTCCTTCGAGAATTTCCTGTTCTTTTCCGTGTGTTCAATGGTACGAAATGACGCATGCAGATCGCGAAATGTGAGAGTGCATGTCGAATCATTGAGCAAGCGCGCATCCTCGGAGCTTTGGCGATCGAGACAAATCGTTCAAACCGGACCTAGTTCCTTTCTTTCCACGCGCGCATTAAGAATTAAAGCTTCCGTGCTTGTAGTTACCTAACGATTGCGATTTATTATTCAAACTGTCCCTTTCCTTGGCCAATCATCATCGCAAATTCCCTGTGACGAGCGATCGCCCGCTCGTTTCCGCCTTCCTCGTATCGGAAAGGCCATTTGCAATCTGTCGAAAACGAGATGTAATTGATTGCCGGCAAGAATGCCGTCCTCGTTTCACAAGCGCGTTGTATGCACCGTAGATATTATGCACACAGACTAAAACGCGATAAGAATGCCTTTTATCCGTAACAAGTTTACAGCTCTTTATCATATATTAAATTACATGAATGTTAATAGTGCTAATTAATAATTGTAGTGAAATGTAAGCGTGATTGATATCAATTATTGATATCTTTTTTTCATCCACATCTTTTTAAAGATATATCATTTCTTTTTATAATATAATAGATATATAATATATTAACAAATTCATATTCTTGCTTATGTGTCATTTGGAAACTACACTTCTGCATGGACTCGAATGTTGGCAATATTTTTGTTGATTTACAGTTTTGTGATTTGCTACTTCAAGAGACACGGTGGTCTAACACATTTCAAAGACACATAAAATTCGCGTTTAATGCCGTTCTTGATCGCTACCGTTGTTTGCTTATGATGCTCTGTGCCCTGGGGACCTTGAATTAAAGACTTACGAGTAATGGCGCTCGACGACATCTCATCTTTCCGCTGATTTCGGCATTCCTTATCACGCGTATTCTGGCTAGTCCATGATGCGTTAACGAATATCGTACAAGTACGAGAGCCGGACTAGTATATATGTATATATATATATATATATATATGTTCCATATATACGTTATACAGTCCATTCGGATGCGAGATAACCGCTCTTCTCTTGCCTCATCTAAACGACGGCCATCTTCGTCGTGTTCTCTTCGCTCTTAGTTGACGAAAGCTGTTTCCGCACGGTTTATAGAGATTTCGAACGAAAGTGCTGGACTTTATCGGCAGCTGAGAATCGCAGTCGGAATTCGAAGAGAGAGAACACTCGTTCAACAGTCTCTCTCTCTCTTACCTTGTGTAAGATCGACAAAGTGATCTCTATCTTAAAACTCAGTCGAGCAATCTCGATAGAACATCTCCTTCTTTAAAGAACATCTAGTTACATTATGAATACAAATGATAAATTTAATTAAACGCTAATCGACTGTGAAAAGCTCTGGTTGTACTCTGGGTACAATTCTAATTAATATCAGGAGGATGGCGGCGGTGTTTCTCGACGTTGAATACAGTATTTTATCTGATTTTCAGCTTTTTTAGTGTTTATTAAAGTCTTGAAACTTTCTAGGTATTAATAAATTAAAATTTTCGATTTTATTCAATACAAAAAAGATTTACAGAGATTTTTCTAAACACACTATCGCCTTAAATATATCTCTGCAAAAGACTCGCCCTTAAATTATAGCAAAATTATTTCACACAATAACACACATTGCTTTGGATAACATTGCTTTCTCGTAAATATTTCGATTTTAATTCTTCCTTCTATCGTAACGAGATGCAAATTGCGCATATAAAACGTTACAATTTTACATATCTGTCAGCGTAATCCCTCGCAAAAGCTCGAATGGAAAAATCAGAACGGTGGCGCCGAAAATGTCTCCATCTTCGAAGCATAGCATCGATAAAGACGGGTAGATGATGGGGTTATAAACTCCCGCCGTATAGTCCGCGATTGCACGACTGAAATGGCTGGATCGTCTCATCGAAGGGGTAGTCCGTATCCCTCGAGCGCGAGTCTCTCACGCGGGGGTTAAAGGCGAAAGGAGTCTGGCGCTGGCGATCGTAAAAGCATCCCGTCGGCGCGATACCCCTCCCCTCCCCCCCGGCAGCTTCTCCAACTTGCCGATAAATGCTTTCGTCTTTCCGGATATTCAGAAGTCCGGCGAGACGATCGGTCAAGTTTTGAAAGGAGTGTTGTGGGCAATAAAGTGGCGGGCAAGTACTGAGCCGTGATAAAAATAACGAGGAGCTTAGATTTATATTGCGGAATTCATTTGTGACCAACTAATTCGATGGGTTTATCAAAGCCGGAAAATCAGCACGATGAAACAAAGGGAAGGATTCGTGCCGGTCTGTTAAGCTTTATTCTGGTCTGTTATATAGTCATTCCGACCGCAGTATTATGTCGGACCAGCAACACAAGCGTAACTTGTATGCTACGTACCATCCGATGGATGTGGGTCTCTTTTTTCGCGGATTGATATTGAAAGGGAACACGTTGTGGGTGGAGGCAACGAACGCGATATGCGTCATGAAGGCGAGCTATTTCTTTCTGGCAGTAAAGAATACATCGCTTACATTTCCACGTTATAAATTTTGGGATGTTAAAGCGTCCGGTGCACATGTCAGACGTCCAAGTAAATTGAACGTAACAGCTGGATGATAAATATCTTGCAATTTTATGACTTGCCAAAATGTCGTAAAGCATTATAAAAATTAAGTATTCGTACGTAGATGGATCTTGCAGGATATACTCGTATGTGTATCGACAAACACAACCAAAGTACTTTTTATTTAAAAGATTCTTATAAAAAAGATATATTTTGCGATTTGGCAAAAAATCTTTGTCTCCGATGACGATATCGTTCGAAAAAAATAGCTTTCTTTTTATCATTATTTCTGTCCACATTTAAAGGCTAACAATCTGCGACTCTGTTTTAGAAGGGCGACTTAACGAAACGATAAAACGTCGTGGCGCGAGTTTAAGAAACTTCTTCAAAGTACTTCGCGTCAACTTCCGCCTGTCTCCGTTCGCGATATAACGGCCGTTTTAAAGAAGCCATTTTTATTTATCACGCCGTCTTCTGCGTGTATGTATTTCGTCTGAAAGCATCCTTCGATTCGCGCGATCGTCTCGCCGATCTCGTGCATCGGGAGACGAAGACGAAAGAAAATTGTTATCGTTTCGCGACACGGGTATTCTCGTATTAGAGTAGAAGCTTCCCGAAATTTGTCGGAAGATCCGGCTACTACAGCTGATTCAATTTGCCTAATGAAGAAGGCAGGAGGGACAACGGAAAACTATATTAAGCGCGGCTTCTATGATTCACTTCTCACTGAATTGATTTTTTCGTGTCCCGCATTCTTGTACTTCTTTACATACGCGATAGTACATGGATATTATCTCGCTGCAAAAGATACAGACTACGGCATATATCAAACAAGACAGTTCTCGCTGTATAATTTATGCAGAAAAGCGTTTATAAGTTTGCAGTGAAAAAATTCGGACGATTTTAATCGATTTACAGATGTATTATTGTTTCAGTACTGTCTTGTAGCATTAAAATTGCTTTTCTATCATTCTACAATACGGAGACCTCGAGATTATTCGACAATTATATTTTATTAATTTTTATTTGTAAAACATTGTAAGATAACGAAATTAATTACCTAGTTTAGGATAAAAAAATTGTTTTAACAATTTTAGTTGTTTTGAAATATATTTTTCAAATTTCTGTTGAACAAATCCGTTTTTCTAAATTTACTGTTACGTCACAATTTTGAAAAAAATAACGTCAAGAAAGAAAAAAATTTTAATTGTGACAATTTTTATAACATTAAGTACCGGCAACAAATGTTTTTCTAAATTTTGTTAATTCCACACGAAGGTGTCAATTTTTGAAATATAGCAATTTAAAAATAACTCTTTTCCATGTAATGCAAAGAAAAGGCACTTTATTTTATTTTAATGCTATGGAAAGTAATCAACTATGTGGAAACTAAATGTTTTTGTACTTAACTTACTTTATAATAGTATAATCGTATCCTACTAAATAAAAAAGCGACGAAATTACAATGTGACTATTTTTACATTGTTATGTCTCGAAAACGAAAAATCATATCGAGACGAAATAAAATGCATTTTAAAGCTAAAAATTACTTTCGCGTGGCATCAATGAAATTTTGAAAAAAATTTGCTACCAGTATTCAATGTCACGAAAATTTTCAGAAGTTGTTATTGTCGTTTCTTTACATCATTTTCCTCGACATTGTAGCGTAAAATTTAAAAAACGGATTCGTATTCAGCACTTAAAATACTATGGGAAACGATTACGTTCGCAGGCAATAATATCAAAATGTAAATTAGCAGACTAGTGAATTATATATTTATTAACAAGACTTCTCTCTCTCTCTCTCTCTCTCTCGTTGCTATTTTATCGTACAAATCACGTTATTCTTTTTGCTTACAGAATTCTATACGTCACAACTTGTCGCTGCACAGTAGGTTCATGCGGGTACAGAACGAAGGAACCGGCAAAAGTTCCTGGTGGATGATCAATCGCGACGCCAAGCCGGGTAAATCCGCCCGTCGTAGGTAAGTCCAGATTGTCGGCAATTTGCCTCTCTTTCTGTTTTTTATTTCTCTTGACCTCGAACTGTCGAGAGTACCGTGTGTATTGTGTTTGCGGCGCAGAGCTACTACTATGGAGAGCACCGGCAGTTTAGAGAAACGACGTGGCCGCTCGAAGAAGATCGCCGAGGCTCTGAGGAACGGCGGGCTGCTGGCCGAGCCAACGTCCAGTCCCAGCAGCAGCGTCGGAGAAGGTCTGGACCTATTTCCGGATAGTCCCCTACCACCTGCCAGCGGATTCCAGCTTTCCTCTGACTTCCGGTACGATAGAGCTCTTTGATACGTTTGAAAAAAGAAATTATCTAAGACAAGCGCAACGAGTTGCGGCCGACCGAGATTAACATTGACAAAACATTGAAGATTTACAGTCGAAAGACTGTTTCAAATTATATGTCCGTTTTTAATGGAATGTCATAACAGTTGATATGAATCGAGGGATATCACAACTGACCAAATCAATCTCTTTGTAATTTCGAGAGAATTTGAGTTGCAAGTATTAGTTACAGAGAAATAGTGAATTTAATTGTTTGGCGATATATGATGAAATATACAGTACAGTATATAGTTGGATACTGTATACATTTTATATGTGGCGCATGCATACATTTGTATTATGAAGAGATCTTTATTATACACATGCAAAAGATATTATATTATAATATAAATTTTCAGAAGAAATTTAAAGCGTGTCTTCTTCAGATTAAGTAATGAATGATTTGTGTTATTCAAGTCCTCGCGCCTCGAGTAACGCTTCCTCCTGTGGCCGATTGAGTCCTATCCCAGCGGTTCTCGGGGAACCAGATTGGACACCGACCTACGCGTCTTCTTATAGTCCCGATCAGCAATTAGGTACATATCTAACGATAATCTCACTTTCCTCTCTTCTTTTCATCTTTCTTTGCTTTCTCGATCGTTTTAGGATTTGTCTTTAATATACACATTATAAAAATCCAGTCCATCCATCTCACACGTATATCTGATAAAACGATTAATACGTGCATCGTATTTGATAGCAGATACGATCCTAGCAGGCAACTTGGCCGATACAATGAAACTGGAACCCTACCAAATGTATCAGACATCACCGCCGGCCGGTCACCAGCAGCAAACGGGCCCGCCGCCACCTTATTACGAAGCGCAGTATCAGAGGAATAACGGCCTACGCACCTCGTCATCTGCATCTTATGGCCTGCCACCTACTCCGCAATCGGCCAATCAGCAGAGATGTCCGATTCACGGTCTGCAGCCGTGCGCCTGTCAGATGGTGAGTCTGAAATTTTTGGCGAATTTTTCGCGCGCGAGGATACCACAAAGGAGGACGTCAGCGTTTTTATGTTGCGCATGTTCGGCCTGGCAATGTTGCAAAATCAATAAGGATCGCGATGTATGTTTTATACAAATACATGCACAAACGTACAGAGTCTCTGTAACTTCTATATGTGTGTGTGTGTGTGTGTGTGTGTGTGTGTGTGTGTGTGTGTGTGTGTGTGTGTTTGTGTGTGTGTGTGTGTGTGTGGCTTATAGAGAAAGACACTCGACAAATGACGTTAATCAACGACGGCCGAAAAGATGAATCAATATTAGTTTTGAAAATTAATTATTTCTTAAGATCAATCGTGGCCTAAGCGGAAAACTAATATCGAAGAAGCCGAGGAATCTTTTCTTTATAGAAACTGAGCTCGTTATTTTCCAACGAGGCCGATATTTTCACAACAATATTTTTGTTGTCTTGTGTGAAAAGATTTGCGATGGTGCGATGGAAGCTTATTTACATTTTATTATTGAAACTGGCTTAAAAAAGCATCATACGCTTATGGAATTGTGTATTGGAACGTATTTTCGATAACGGCACGAATACAAACACATTCGAGCTAAATTCAGAACAACCTGCCTAATTGTTTAATTCACGAGATTAAATTTGCTAAGATTGAATTATGCTAAAATTTACTTACTTCTATTTCTATTAATCATTTTATCACGCGCTACGCGATATATTTATTGTATCTTTATCAACAAAGTTCATATATTTATCCTAGAATAGATTAAAATACGAAATCTTCAATTTCCCTGGATTCGTTACGTTTTTAATAAAATTCCAGAGAAATGTAAAGAATAAGACGACTGTAGACTAATATAGAAAACTAATATTTGTACAAGGAAAGAGGTAAATAATACTATATTTCGCAATATAGTTTTAGAAATATAGTTAGAAGTATATTTATATTTTATTTATAAATCATTATTAATCAATAACATTTGTATTTACGTAACAAGTTACATAACAAATTGTATATAAATACAGATCGTTGCGATCACGCTTTAGTCTTCATCGCGCTTTCTTTTGAAAAATTCCAAAATTAGAACCTGAGTCCCGGCATGTCACCATCCGGCATGTCACCGTCGTATCAGCAGAGCGAGCCTAGTCCTACGGCACTGGGCAGCAATCAACAGCAAACGCTGCAATACATGATTCAGACGCAACAGCGTCAACAGCAGCAGCAGCAGCAGCAGCAGCAGCAGCAGCAGCAGCAACAGCAGCAGCAGCAGCAGCAACAGCAGCAACCGCCACATCAGCCACAGCATCAGCCAGCGCAAACTGGACCAGCTGGTCCCAGTCCACCTAACACGCCGACACCCTGCCCCACCACAGCCAGCACCATGATGGGTCAGCTGATGGGTGCGCTCAATCATTCCGCTCTCGATGACCTCAACATCAACATCGAGGCAATGCACGGTGGCTTCGACTGCAACGTTGAGGAAGTAAGTCTGATTATGCACCGTCCGTTACCACTGATTTTCAATGAAACCCTACGTCTGTTATTACACGAGAAAAAAATGATATTGTATTAACAGCATTATTTTAATTGAAAAATAATCTTGTCAATTCAATAACCAGCGTTAATGAGACAAAATAAAATTTTATTAAAACAAGAGCATTTGTTTCATTAATAGTACGATTGAATTGAACAAATTTTATCTTCAATTAAAATAATGCCGTTGATATAACATTTTTTTTTTTTCAGTGTACTAATGCCGCGTCACTAAGTTTTTCTAAGAATCAACAAATGGAGAAAATCACTTTTTTTGCGCACCACGAACAGTCTGAGAGTCTAAATTGCACATGTAAATGTGTTGTAAATATAACATTTTTTTATAAAAAATAATATTAGATATAAAGAGCTTTTCAGTTAATCTTTGACGTTACGTATAAAATCTGCATATTTCGATTGACATGTAAAGTACTGCGTTAATCCTTATCTGGAAAATTTATTTTATTTACCAAATCTTACGTAGTAGTTAACATTATTAATTTTTACGAAATTACAAGCTCCTCTGCACGCATGTAACAATATATGTTTACTTAATATACAGCGAAAATAAAAATTTCGTAGCTACCGTTGGACTGAACAATTTTCGAAAATATAATTTCAGTTTAAAATAAAGAGTATGATGAAATTCATGTTACCGGATAAGGATTGCTACGAGAAAGGGAATATTGCTTCTTAAAATATACGTATAAACGTGCAATTCGATATGTAAATTGCAGGTAATTAGGCATGAATTGTCGATGGGTGGCACGCTGGATTTTAACTTCCAGCAGGGAGTGATGGGCACCGTGCAGGCCATCAGCGACGGCAACGTTGTTGGTCAGAATGGCGGCGTCGTTTCCCAGAACACCGGCGTCGTCATCGGCACGACGACCGGCAACGCGCCGGGCGTCTACGTAAGCACGAATGCGGCAACCCCCGCCGCGACCCCTTCGTGGGTTCACTAGCAGTTAACCCCCCTGCCCTCGACACCCCCATCGTCCTTGCCGATGCCGATGTTGTCCGACGGATCGCTGGATAACTTCTGCGGGACGACCGAAGGGCAGCTCATCGGTGAGTTTCTTCAATTTCTCAAACCTCTCGATTTTCAAGCATCAACGCTCGTAATCGCAATTATCGTGTATCAAGATGAAATATCAATACAGATTAAACAGCGCAATCGTTGGCCGCTCGTATTTCGACGCGGTGAAAAGTTCGTTTTTATTTCTTAGGGAAAAAAATGAAAAAAGAATTATAGATTCGACTGTATTCGGTGAGATAATAGATTTAAGTAGAATTTAATTTATACCTACTCCACACGTGAGATCATCTAAGTAAGATTTTTTAAAAGTATCACTTATTTTTTTACATCCATCATTTGTTTACCTCTGAAGCTAACGACAAAAAAGAATTCGCTGTTATGATATAATTAATGATTATTTCACATTTAGAGATACTAAATGATCAATAATAACTTCATCATGTAATATATTGTAATTCGTTCTACTTTTTTCTCGACTTTCGTGAAAACCAAAAAACAAAACTCGGATTAATTTCTAGATCCTAGGTAATAGCTTCACTTAAATGCATTACGTAATCGTGAAATAAAGGAAAGACGTAAATCTATGTCATCCATCTGTTAGATGTTAGAGTCCGCGAATCGATATATCATTCTCGCGTGGCTGATTAATCATCCGGAAGTTCGCGCGGGATCTTTCGCGCGAACTTTCTCGCACGTCGCGTTTTCGATCATGGAACTATGAAGGGAGGAAGATATCCGGCGGATGCAAGAGGAGGGAAATGGAGAGCAGAGAGAGAGCAGGTCATTGATTGCCCCCTCGTGCACGCAAAATAATATTTGCATACTCGTGTCATAACAGTGCTCAGCCGTATGGTATTTAATAAATCGCTTCGACGTTTTGTGCCTCCGTCCCCCTCGCCCCTCCCCGCCATTTCGTACGTGCCGACACATTCATATAGCGGCGACCCGTGTTCCGACGGTGTTTTGTGCGAAATCGCTATTGACTTGGACGCGATAACAATTACATCGCCGCGGGCCGCGGATTTTATGGAAAGCCTTAACACAATATTGCTGATCGCGATCACACGAAAACAGTCGCGCATTTTGTTTAACGAAGAAGCGGAGCGTCCAACAATTATGCATTCGCGAAAAAACACTCGCGCGGGGCCCCGATTTTCTCCCGAGGCCCGAATATTGTTACACGTTTAGACGGAAAAAATCCATCGCGCATTTATGCCCGAAATGTAAATTTGTGCCTAATTGGATGGACCAGTCCGTAGCCCGAATAGTGTACTGTTGTGTTGACGATATAGTTTATAGACGATACTTCTGAGATAAGAGTAGCCGAATTCTTAGTATTTAGAAAAAAGTGTTACAAAATGATATGTTACACAGAAACTGTACAAAAGTGTAATTGGAAAAATTGGAAATTGCTTTTCTGGAAATAAAATTGATAGATAGAAAATACAAACGTGCATCTGTATTTTTAATACCTACAATTGACACATTAGAAAAAAAAAAACTGTTTTAATCAAGCCGAAGTACAGTTCACGAATGACTCGACCATTCACACGCTTACGAGATGATAATCCCTTCTGCATTATTTCCTAAAGTTATATACGTTTATATCTCAAATATTCACGCGTCACTTTGCAGCGATCTTGGACTTAATTTACTTGGACGAAATTACGTTATACAGTAATCGCATCCGATCTGTCTCTTTCTGCAACCGAGGCCGCTCTGCGTGGCGTGAGACTTGCGATAAAAATTAAAATATTTTTTTTTCTTTTTACATTTTTTACGCCGATTTCTTTTCCCCGAGCTTTGCTTTCTCTCTTGCAATAACGGAGAAAGAGGAAGAAGACGGTAGATAGAGATGCAACGTGAATTCTCAGAGAGAAAACGATTTTTGCTATTAGTGTGTTTCGCAATAAAGTGACTAAAATAACTTCCACTTCGCTGCCGGTTGTCTTTTAATCTTTAATACACGCAGCGCCATATAATTATATCTTTATCCTATCATTTCATCGTTGTCCTCGTCGCGATCGTCATTAGTAGTTGTCGCACTAATAGAGATAAAAATGCCGTATGAATACACGGATAAACGATCGACGATATTAATCGTGTGCTGATAATCGCGTTCTAGCGTGTGCTATCCGGCGGCCAATTGCAACTGGTTGGATATTGGCTTCCTCTTGCAATCTGCGCAGTTGCGTGATCGACGTAATAATGTTTTTCGAGTGTTGCAGGAAGAACGCCGAGAATCATGAATGAATCCGCACACGATTCATTCACAAATATGTATGCGATGATTCGCAAATCGCTGCTCGACATTACATTTTTATCTCTTTTTTCAAATCTCTTACGCGATGACATAAAATAATATTATATGAAACTAAATAATGAAGGATCAATGAGATAATCAAAATAAGGGTAAACTTTTGAGAGAGAAAATCTTTTCTCTGTAAAACATAATAAATGAAAGAAGAAGTAGATAAAATTAGTAAAACAGAATATTTGATACAGGGTTGAAAATGCAAGCGCTATACTTTCACTGACATTTTCATCGTCGATGGTCAACGATGCTAATCCCGTTTTCGTCGATTTTTCTTGATCTTGCGTATCATCGTTCGGATGGCAAGCAAAGCGGAAAAGCGGCAACTAGGTAAGCAGACAGCAGGAAAAAATGACGCGAGCGTCTGGCCACGCTAACGGCTCATTTTTTTTCCCCGGACAACCTCTTTTGGCGATTGCACTCTCACATGACAGCCTACTTTGTTGTCCCTACGAGCGCGGATATTATTTACACGGCGGAATATCGGCCCGAGAGAGATATTAGCTTTCAGAAAAATATTTTTCAGAGCGGCGAACGCGCGCGAGCGGCGAAAAAATACCGCCCCCGGGCTTACGCCCCGGTATATTAACGCCTCCGGCCGTTCCAGTAGTTTGTTGTGCGTATGAAACCGGTATGCACGCCGATCTCTCCGTTAGTTCCGAGGGGGGGATCGATGTCTTTTTGTTTCCTCTCTCTCTTCTTTCCCCGCGCTCTCTCTCTCTCTCTCTCTCTCTCTCGCTCTCGCTCTCGCTCTCTGTCTCTTTTTTTTTTTTGGTCCAACTGTATATCCATTTACCGTCTGGCGGAAAGGGTATAAATTCGAGGGTTTGGATAAAACCGATACCACCGCCGCAACGAGCGGAGCGCAACGCGACGCGTAAGAAACGCGCTCCGAGGCACGGACGTTTCAACGCGCGGCGCGGTGGTGCTGCCGTGAAACGGTGTGACAGGAAAAATTTCGCAGTAATTCTTTGTACAGCGTACGGAAAAATTTCTCCCTATCGCTTGAGAAAATATTTTCAATCATTTTTACAGGGTAAAAATTCCACCTAAGGCGGTAGCGGAAATGAATTTATTGAGCTCGGAGCTCTGGGATTTGATCGGCAATAATTAGTACGAGTGCTTTGTCCGAAAACGGTATTTGTTTTATATGTATAATCAAGTTAATCCTATCTAAATTGTAAATCAGGAGTAGATGAAAATTTCTATTCTATTTTCTATATCCAACACACAATGACGGAACGCCATTTCTTCTTCGAGCAAGCGGATAACGAGGAGAAGGTTGATAACGTGATAATCCGGGAATCGCTCCATTTTATCGAGCGCAACGATAAAGGAATAAGGAGAGTCCGGCCTTATCTCGTCATCGCCCTGTAAAACTACTCGCGAGAGTAGTCTCGGCCATGGAGCGGAAACTGCGAAACTACGAGAAGCGTCCCTCATTAAACGAGAGCGCGCTCGGCGAAACTTTCGTCGTCCGAAATAACAATGGAGTCTCTCGAGCGCCGGATTATTTCGAGATCACACGGTACATGACTCTAATTGAACGACTTCCGGTCGGCGTCGCGCTAATGGAGAACAGATTTTCGGATCTGTGCCGCTCGTAAACTCGCGGTCGAAATTCGAAACTCGCAACTCGCTCGCCCCCGATCAGTTCCTTCGCGAAAACTTCCAAGTTAAAACAAAAAAGCATCGAGGAGAGAGAGAGAGAGAGAGAGAGCCAGAAGGGGCGAAGAATAGGAACAAAGTGGGCAGATAGGGGGAAGACCAAGGGATGCAACGATAGATCGAGGTAGAGAGCATGTAGGTTGCGGAATGAGAGAGGACGGGTCGCTTGCCTGACAAGGCAAGGTTGGGTGGCAAGGGAAGAAGTCTTTTCTTTTTCCTCTGTCCCCTTCTCCGCCTCTTTCTCTTCTTTCCTCCAGCAACTTTATAATTCTTGCGACGCTTTTGGGGAATGAGATTGTCGGTGGCAGGGGCGGAATGGAGGCGGCCAGAGGGTGGCCGGGCTTTAAGGTAGTCCGCTGGCGCCAGTGACGTCTGCCGAATAGCTGCTGACTCCCAGACTCCTGCAGTTTCGGCTAAGTGGTTCCCTTTTGCCCCACTTCAGCGTTTCTGAGCGCACACCTTCTTCCTCTATCTACCCGGGAACGCACCTATCGACGACGAGGGCTGCTCAATTTGATGAATGCTCAATTTTCTATCGACCGCGGAGAGAGAGAGAGAGACCGTAGGGCAGTTTAGGAAGACAAATACATCAAAGCTTTCTATTAAAAAGACTTCGGCCTTGTAGGTCAAGGTTTAGTCATTCGTGACGAAAGATTGCTATTTTTATACGTGGGTGAGAACAATTTTTATTTTCAAGTATTTTCAAGAAATCCGGAAATGATAAATATTAAACTTACTTTATTTAAGGTTTTCGTTGTTAAAATGAGAAACTTATCGCATTACGAAAAGATAAATATAATCGTTTCCTCTATTTTAATATGCATTTTTCCAATATACATTTTCCCATAATTAAAAAAGATACTCTATCAATAAGTAATAAAAAGAAATTTAATGTTGAGCAACTTGAGAAATCGATTTCAAAGTGATCAATATTATATGTCGTCGATATTTTTACTAAAATATATCTAAAAATATATCAAGTTATTGAAAAATACAGAAAAATTGTAATTGAATCTGTTAAAAAACTTAATAATTTATTAATAAAAATAA